CGCCTGATGCAGCTGCAGCGCCAGATCCCGAGGGGATTCACCTGCCAGCATCAGCATCGGAGCGCGCGCCCGGATCTTCTGCATAGTCTGCTGTTGGCTGCATAAAATCATGAGTATTTTCACCGATTTCTTCACTAATTTCTGCACGGTTGGCCGGCCCTGATTCCTGCACACTATCAGCAGATACCTCATCAAGAGTATTAGCCATTGACACATGACCAGCAGCAATATCAACTCCCCCTGGAATAAAGTTTGGTGATGGCAGGAGATGTGAGGGTAACAAAACAAGTTCTTTGCATAGTTGTGCGCCTGCATTTGGGTGAAGACTAGCAAAAGGAAAAACTTGTTCATCAAACACGACATCACGAGAAATATAGACTCGTCCGGAGGAGATGTCTAAGCATTTATATCCCTTGTGAAGAGTACTATAACCCAAAAAAGCGCATTTCTTGGAGCGGAACTCAAGTTTGTGCTTATTAAAGGGGCGCAAGTTGGGCCATACAGCACAACCAAAAATGCGAAGAAAGCTATAATTGGGTTTAGTGCCAAAGAGGCGTTCTAGTGGAGTTTGGTTTTTGATGACTCGGCTAGGGACACGGTTGATGAGATATACAGCCATGAGAAAGCTTCATCCCAAAACTTTAAAGGCATGAACGCATGTGCCAAGAGAGAGAGACCAACTTCCACTATATGATGATGTTTCCGCTCAGCGGATCCATTTTGTTGGTGTGCATGAGGGCAAGAGACGTGGTGAGTAATGCCAATACGCTCAAAGAAAGAATTCAGACTTTGATACTCACCACCCCAATCTGTTTGCATGGCGATGATTTTGCGATTAAACAGACGTTCAACATGAGCTTGAAAAAGACGAAACTTCTCAAACACATCAGATTTGTTCTTAAGCAAATATATCCAACTAAACTTGCTGAAATCATCAATAAAACTGACATAGTATTTTTGCCTGCCTACAGAAACGGGTCCAGGACCCCAAACATCGGAGAAAATTAGCTCTAAAGGAGCTTTGGATTCACTAACTGAGCGAGGATAAGGGAGTTGATGGCTTTTGGCCATCTGACATGCATCACACATGAGAAGATGATCTTGTTTATTCGACACGGGGAGATTAAAATCTCAGACTATTTTCTGGACCACTGGAAGAGAGGGATGCCCTAGACGCTTGTGCCACCGGAATGTAGATGGTTTGATTGCTCCAAGTGCTCGACGTGGAGGGGCACTGTGCCGCCCGGTGACTGGAAACAAACGCCATTTACTCTTGTTTTGAAGTATGGTCCTCCGGGTATCCTGATCCTTGACAAGAAAAGTTTCAGGGTGAAGCTCAATAAACACGTGATTATATTTCATGAGTTGATAGGCAGAAAGAAGACTTTGCTCAGAGTTAGGAACATGCAGAATATTATTGAGTTTCAACGATCCGGAGGGAGTAGATGAAACTGAGTGGCCGATGTGTGCAATGTCCATACCTTGTCCACTGGCAGTGTGGATCTGTTCGTTGCCGTTGTAGCGATCCCGAACCGCAAGTTTCTCCAGTTCGCCGGTGATGTGATCAGTTGCACCGGTGTCTAGATACCAGATGGTATCTACACCGTATGAATGAGCGGCGTTGGCAACACGATGTTGGCCACCATTGCCACCACCACCGCCACCGCCGCCATCGTTGCCGCCACCGCCGCCTCCTGCGGGGTTGTGGACATTGTTGTTGTAGCCTTTGTCATAGCGCTTTCTGCAGCGCCATGCACCGTGACCTTCTTCTTTGCAGATCTGACAACGTTCGCGGTCACCGCGGTCACCACCCTGCTTGCGCGGCGCGCCACCAGACGAGCCACCCCCGGAGTTGTCGTTGTAGCGGGGAGGGCCAGAGTTGTTGTTGTAGCCGCCGCGTCCTCCGCCACCACGACCGCCGCCGCGGCCGCCCCCACGAGATGCAAGGTTGGCGGAGTGGTTGGGGGAGAAAGCCGCCTGCTGAGCGGGGATGCGGGCTTCAGCCGCCAGGAGTAGCGAGAAGAGCTCCATGAGGCCGATCTGCTGATCCATGGCGGCGCGTGTGGAGATGGCAGAAACGAAACCGTTGTAGTCGGGTTCGTGCACCAGGCCTTGGAGAATTTGGTCGACGAGGTCGTCTTCTCCAAGGGGCTTCCCAGCGGCTGCGAGTTCATCGGCGATGCCCTTCATCTTGGTGAAGTATGCTGCAGCCAAGAGATCCCCCTTGCGCATGTTACCCAGGGCGGAGCAGAGCTGGATGGTACGCGCCCTGGACTGCGATGAAAAGCTTTGGAGCAGGACTTGCCAGATGCTAACAACGGTGGTATGATTGGAGACTTGCATAAGAACGTCACGAGAGAGAGAAGCAATCGGGAACGTGAGCACCTGCTGATCCTACGCGACCCAGATGGGATACTCTGGGTTCGGCGTGGTGACGATCTCCTTCTTTCCTTCTTCGATCTCCTTCTCAGAGACGAGGACGGCGGCTGGCTCCTTGATCGAGCCGTCGATGTAGCCCATCATCCCTGCCGCTTTGATGTGCGGTAGGACTTCCGCCTTCCACACCAGGAAGTTCTCCCTGGTGAGTTTTTCGGTGATGGTGTGGCCGAGCGATGCGAGGGAAGGAGAGGCCATGGCGACAGAGGAGGAGCTGGATGACATAACTAGATGCGTTGGAAAAAGAGGCTCTGTATACCATGTAGAAAAGAGAGGCTAAAGCGTATGCAATTAGCAGGGATGCGTGCATGTTAATATAGGCACAATGATGCGAGATATACAAGGTTGCTGGGCTGTGGATTGATCTCCAAGACACAATCTAGGATAGGACTCAATCCCAACAGCCCAACTATCGTTACAACAGAGAATATCTACACGCACGCACGCATATACGGCATATGTACAATGTTTAACACTTCCTCTGTACGAAAATATAAAAGCATTTAGATCACTACTTTAGTGATCTAAATGTTTTAATATTTATTTCTGGAGGGAGTAGAAAATGCATTCACCAGCCACGGTCAACGTCGAATAAACTGGATCTGTGGATGGCATCTGGGACATGACACATGAGTCATGCCAGATTACAGGCGTGTTTGCTGCCTTGTCAGGGATCCGATCAGGGTGTTTGCCTGCACGCCCACATGATTAATTAAACTGTTGCCAGAATGCTTTTACCGTTAATTTCTTTCAGTGCCATCCTCTCTAACCGTTGCTCCCATTCATGCTCTGCATCGGCTTATGTCTACTGAAATATTAGCGTGATTTCTGCAGTTTTGTCCGATACTGGCCCTGTTCAGCCCATCGCGTCCGCAAGTATTCGGCATCCAAATCGAAATCCCGCCACCTTCTGCTTACTGCGCCCCAGGTGGCGATTGCTAGCTAGGCTTCTGGCTGCACTCAAGATTTTATAATGTTGTTATCTGACAGTACTAGCTGTAAGTGGTGTGGAACAGTGCAAGTTATGTACGTTATCAGATTATCATATCATGATAGCTAGCATACTTAATCAGACAGCAAGAAGAGGTGACAACTGACAGCCCTCCACACACACACCCATACTGATTAAACAGCCGGAGATGCCGACAATAATTCCAGCAGTTTGCTTTTGAGATGTGAGCTAGTACTAGTCTACTAAATTATTTGGCGTGGAAATGATTAGTGTTCAACTACTACTAGGATGAACATACCAAATGCCCACACAGCTACTGCAATCATCAACCAGATGCTGATACGGCAGTGCATCAGCATTGTTTACACCATAGTTTTCAGTTGCTGCTGTTAGTTGCCATATCTGATGATATGATACAGCTTACAATATATAGTTTCTGTTGGAAAGCCAGGTTCGTCCCTTACAAAATCTGATGGCGGAACACTCGGCACAGATCAGCATTGCAGTACCTAACAAAGCCCTGAGACTAGGATTATTATTCATTCCCATGCATGATTGAAATGGACAGCATTGCATGAGCTCGTCACAGACGTGGGTCATGACAAAGTTAAGATGTCACACATATTCATACACCTGAATACCTGATCATGATTGATGAGTATGTCGTATGGTTTTCATATTGTCAAAGCTGGTCTGCGTACTCCAGGAAGGAAACCACTATACCATTCAAAGTGGATGATAAGAGTAGTTTGTACGTATTTTCTGCTCCAATGCGACCTGTATCCACACGACAACCCAGAAGCATTCTATTCTGGTCCGGCGATGGATGGTTGGAGGTTAACATCAAGCAAACCTGTGTGTCTGGAATTCGATGCTGCGGTCCATGATTCTCTTCAGATCACGGTTGGCGCGATGAATTCACATCAATTCTCTACTTGACCATCCAATTCACAGCGAGGAGTAACAGTGATTGATGATCGTTCACATGCATCAGGCCGTGGAACACCTCCAAAAGTGGGGACATGCGTCACAAGATCACGGCCGTCTTCTCTGGTAAGACGTGCTCGGTCGCGACAAGCATCTCTATCTCGGCTGAACGCCTCCAGCCAGAGGTCTCCCGTCGTTTCTTGGGTCGCAATCAGTCCCAGCTGGAACACGCCAAGCTTTTAGAATTCCGCTCAGAATTCCTCTTCTTCTTACCAATCGCCCAAGTTTCCGGCCGGACACTCAACTTTTGTTTATGCAAAACAACGGCGAAATTGCTAATGCGACGCCAAGAAGTCACTGACCAACCATTCGCAAAATCAAACACGAAGAAATTATCAGCCGTAATTGGGGACAAAACTTGATTAAGTACGACAACGAATGTAGCAATCGCTTCTCTTCTTCTTTGTTTTTCTTTATACAGCGACGAACAATCAATCATGGGAGCAGCAGGGGAGGAGAGAAAGAACTGGAAGAAAGAAACGATCCCCATCCGCATCCCGTCCTATGGAGCCGAACCATCCGAGAAAAGGCCACCGTCTTTTTGCCACGCTTTGAAGTTTGACCACCACCGTCGAGCGATACCTTTCCTTTTCCTGTGGCGCGATCCGAGGGGGCGGAGGAGCGGTCAGGCCCGTGGGGCCCCGTCGGCGGGCGGCGGGTGGAAGAGCGGCGGCGCGTCGCGGCCGCCGAGGTCCATGGAGGACTTGGCGGAGGCGGGCGGGGCGGCGAAGCGGGAGGAGAAGTCGCGGTAGCCGCCGGCGTGGTCGCCGGCCTCGGGGGTGGCGCCGTGGCCCTCGTCGAAGTTGAGCGCGTAGCTGAGCGCGTCGTAGTTGAGCTTGCGGCCGCCGAAGTTGTGGTGCGGGCGGGGCCCGCCGGGGCCGCGCCCGAAGCGGCGGATGAAGGTCTTCCAGCGCGGCCCCGCCGCCAGCTCCGACCACTCCCGCACCTTGAGCAGCGCGTCCACCGCGCCCTGCCACCAGTGCTCCTCCTCCCCGCCCAGCGTCGCCGCCGCCCCGCCGACGCGCTGGTGGGAGAGGGCGGAGGACGAGGAGGATGTGGAGGAGGGCCAGCAGGGGAAGCAGCAGCACCGGCTGCCCCGGCGCGCGAAGAAGGCCGCCTCCGCCTCGTCCACCCCGCCGCCGTGGTCGGCGTCCATCGCCTCGCCGCGACCGTGGATCGTGGAAGGAAGGAAACCCCTGCGCCGCCGGGCCGATGCGGTTGGGTCTGGTCTCTTTGCGGCTGTGCGTTTCTTCGGTCTGTTGTGCAGTTGCGCCGTGTCGTGGCAGCGTATGGCGTGCGGGCCTTTTATCGGGAGGCCACCCGCGGGCAGACCGTGGGCGGGGGTGGGGGAGTCAACGGTGGGCGCGGCCGGCTGACGTGGGCCGGAATTCGCGGGGCCCTGACCATCCCTCTATCCCAACCCAACGTTCGCCAAAAAAAAAAATCTCTTAAAAAAACACTGACACGCTTGCTTATATCCTGATGATGGGAAAGAAAAGACACGCTTACTACTTTTCTCCCTCGTCTCGCCGCGGATCAGCAAAGAGGTTACTCGTTGGTACTACTGTCCACTTGGAGTCGTGATAAACATGGCACGGTCCTTCCTAGTACTAGGTCCGATCAACAGGCTGTGCATCTTCTATTATTATCCGCAGATAGAATTGGAGAAGCATTCGGCTTCGGGCTGCTTCACGGTTGTTTCTGACGACGATCTGCATAGTGCGTTATTAGTCACATGAGATTCAGATTCATCCCATGCTTTGTTATCCAAAATGATCACATTATCTGCGCCTTTCGCTTTAATTAACGGTGAAGTGCGCCAGGTGGGATCGGAACGACAGCGCGGACGCAGGGGGGACGAAGCTGGCTGGGACACGTCGGGGTCGGGCGGCCGCCTGCGCTTTGTCCTGCGGGTGACGAGGACCGGGAGATCTTGCTGCCGCCGGTCGTGTGAAGCAGTTGCGAGCGGCGTGCTAGGTCCTCTACGTGCCATTTGCGCTGCGAACGTCCCGCGGATTCGCCGGCACGAGGTTTTGCTTGCAGCTGCACCGCCTCTATTGATTAAGGAATCGGAACTACTGAGCAGCCGACACCCACTGGCCGAACATTGGACGATGCTTTGATCCAGCGGTCGACCTCCACTTTGTGCCATGCATGTATGGTCAGATCAGTAGCACCGTCCAAACATCGGCTGCACACCGTCGTGCGTACTTACGCAGCATGATCATTGCACTGCTGGCTGTACCTGTGCTATACTGCTGGCTGTAGACCAGGGTTGGTCTATCTTTCTTCGTGTCCAGGCCAAGTAGCGGCCTGGATTTCTTCCTTGTGGCCGCAGCTCCAGGCCGATCACAGCAAATTGGCTGTTCAAATATCAGTTTGATCATGGCTGTCGATTCTTCTTTTTAGATTGATGACCAGGTTTCACTTTTGTCTTGGATATAGGGAGGATTGCTACTGCTATTGACCGCCCCACTTCAAAAGAGAAGGAAAGAAAGCACATGGACCTGGCCGAGTCTGCATGTTTGGATAAGATCGACCGATCGATCAGCAATGGGCCACAGCAAGCCCAAGGAGTAGGGGATGACTGACGGTCGACTGCCCATGTTTTCTTCATGTCCCGGCTCATCAGACTGCCGTGAGCCCCGAAGGTATATGCTTTAGCGTAAAGTGTGGTTTGCTTTTCTATATTAGGCAACGTCGCTAATCGAAGTGGAACCGCCGGGATGTGCTTCAGCCGGAGGGGAAGGAGACGACAGTGACCTGCGATCGGACAAGACACCACCCGTGTACGCCAGCTTCGCCTCGGTAGTGGCCTTCATGGGACCCAAGCGGCGGTGGTCTCCCATGTTCTACATCTCCTCGATGATGGTGGCAGACGCGGACGTGCGCACCACCGTTTTGTCGATCTCCGTGAAGCCGGCTTCTTTCTCCGTCGGTAGGGTGCGGTTACGAGAATGTTGGCGACAGATGGCGTGATCGCAGACATGGGAGGAGTGATACTACACGGCGTCGTCCACGACAGCCACGATGCCTGTGTCGCCGTGCTCCGCCGCGTGCCGGTCTGGGGCAACTCGCCACTCCTCAGCGAGCTGGCTTGGAGCGGCAAATTGCTGAATGACGCGTCGGCATGGAGCTTCTGCCTCCGCGAGCCAGCCTGCAACGGCCTGGAGCGTTGAGGGTGGTGGAGCAGAGAGTTGCCGGGCTCGTATCCAGCAGGCTCGACGGTCACCCACCCGACTTTTATGTTGGAGAACCCCTCTTCCTGCTTGCTGGATGCCATGAAGATCGTGGAGAAAATTGTGCAACGAGGAGATGGGAGCAGAGTGTGGTGCGATTTTTGCCCCTAGTCTGGCATCGTTTAAATAGCGGGCGTACATCCGGAGCCAACCGACGTTGTGTTTGATGACAGGCAGCCAGCGAACGTACGTGCGGCCGGAGTAGGTTTCTCAACACACGCTGTCACGGCCCACCTTATCAGGCATACTGTCTCCGTGTGTTCAATGCCAACTCTTGGACCGAATCGTTGGCATGCACGGTAACAATGTTGTATCATACACAAATACGTCCTTTATTACATTGCATGATCCAAAATGTAAATAGTCTTCCAGACTTAGCCATGGGCTAGTCAAATACATAGTCTTACAATAAGAAACATAGTTCATAACAAGCGGAAACGAAAGCAAATCTAAGGTTGACGCCTTGATAAGCTCCATCAACACCACGCGGAAGCATGTCGAGTAGAGGCACGAAACCCGACGTAAGTCACTTCTCGTAGTAATCACCTGCAACATGATACGTTGCAGCCACTAGGGTGAATACTTGGAATGTATTGGCAAGTTTACAATTTACTTGGAATCGTGTTCACCTACATGCACTTTAGCTACTGGGGTTCAAACCTCTTTGCAGAAAATATACGTTTACCCTATTATCTTAGTCGTGGTATACTCTAATAGCTGGACGTACCGCCTCACATAGTAGTCCTGGGTGGATCATATCACGCGATCAACCAAATGCGATTTGAGTATGTTGGACTCCCGCCTCACACGGTTGTCCCAAGCCTTTCGCCAGAGAACCTGGTACCCCCAACCCTCTGGGATCAAATCCACACTCTCCTTTGGTTCAACCCATTGATATTAATAGAGAAGAGGTGGTGAGATCAAGCTGACAATTTTCAGATGAGTTGCTCAAGTTGTCCGTAAACTGGAGACACGGCTAATCATGATCAGTTTTATACACTCTGTAGAGATTTTTGTACTTTACCCGTGATTCCCGATCACACCCTTGTGCTACTAAAATTCATTTGTGAAGTAGCTAGGTAGATCAAGACGAGACTTTTGGGAAGTAGTAGCCCCTCAGCAATGGCGGACCCGGTCCAACCTACACACCTACATCTGCTACTCTACCTAGGAGGGTTCCCACAACTTACTTGGTCCAGACAAAAACCTTTTTGTATCACAGTTACACATGGAAGCTACTCAACGTTGAACCCGTACAATCCCTTTGGTACCTGGGTGGAATTCCTTACCAAAGACTATACTCTGATGACCCAATCAAAGTCAGTCGACCAAGATTGATTCATTAATTAAGTTGTAGTCAAGTAGTCAATCATGAGGTTGTATGGCGGAATAATAATTGGTGTTTCCCAATCGAGGAGCGACTAAGCATATACTCGATGGTTACAAGGTCAAGGTAAATTTGGACCTAAGTTGTCAACTACTAGGTTGTATATAATCCGCCGCCTATACCTACCGTTTAGGTGGCACCAGAGAGATCCAACTAAGATAAGGAACTTCGTGTCGCGGCTGCTCCACTCCACTGCGGTCTTTTGAACCAAACTTCGTTGCCTTCCCGCGCGCGAAACGAATGGGCATTGTGTTGCACTTCTCGTAATCTAACGTTGACAGAAAATAACACATATCAATCATAAACACTCAATTCATGCAAATGGAAAACTTGCATGAATGCAAAAGCACAAATCACACATCACATGTGTTGGATTGCTTGGTTTGGTTTCATTCAACTTGGCCTTTCCAATTTGTGTTCAGGGTTTGGTTGATATTTGACTTCATTGCAATATTCATTTAGGGTTAGCTAACTAGATTCAAATCCTAATAGGTTCAACTTGCCATCTTAGTTTAATATTTATGAAGCCTAAATGATTTAACCTCATTAGTTAATGCAACTTGGTTTGAATTTGAAATTTGACTTGCACTATTTGAAATTGTTTGACCTAAGTTTGACTCTCCTGAAATTTATTTCTTCTATGCCATTATGATTTATTTATTAAATTTAAATAACCCATTCATTATTCTACTATTTTATTTTACAAAATAATTTGGGTTTATCATTAAATTTCCTCCAATTCAAACTATGATTCAAATTATTTTCAAAATATTTATTTGATGTCTTGTTATATTTCAAATAAGTCTAGGAATTATTCTAGTTGAATTTGGTTTATTTACAAAATTTATTTCACTAATTAAATTCAAATATATGTGAAATTAGGGTTGTTAAGTTTCTGTCCGCAAACAATTTTGTATATTTTTACCAACATTTGACTAAATTAAACTACATTTCACTAGTTCCAAAATGCAAAAAGAATCACCTATTTTGGATTTGTAGATTAAAAGTTATGCCCTATTTAGTACTTAAACTATTCTGTTTGAAATTCAAATTTACCTTTTCTGAAATTATTCTGAAAGTTCATGTCCTAAAATTTATTTGGAAAGATGAGCGCGTAGCTGGGCGCGTCATATTTGAGCTTGCGGCCACCAAAGGCGTGCAGCAGGCGCGGGTCGTCGGGGCCGCGGACGAAGCGCCGGATGAAGGTCTTCCACCGCTGCCCCGCCGCCAGCTCCGACCACTCACTACAAAAAAAGACACATCCATGACATTTTGGGCCGAACGAACATTTTTTCTATCATACTTATGACACTTCTATGATGATAATTATGACAAAACCCTGTATCATCATAGATGTGGTGGGCTCCTACTTCTATGACAAAAAATCATGACAGAAAATGGGCTTTTCGTCTTGGGCGGGCCAGAGACGCACCTGTATGACATTTTTGGGCCATTCATGACGGAAAAATTCGTGGTAGAAGCGAGGGCGAGGAAAATTTCAGGGACTTCCCGGTTACGGTGGGTGGTCGG